CTACGTCTGTCGTATCTGTCAGAGCTATTGGATTTTCTGTAATTGTTAAACATAAGGTGCGAGGGGGCGCACCCCTGGAGCCTCAGCACTTCAGAGGCCGAGGCAGGAGGATTGCAGTGAGCTTGAGGCTGGGCAATGCAGTGAACTGAGCTGCCAGCCTGAATGGCCTGTCAAGACCTTCTCTCTAAATCAATCAATCAATCAATCAATCAATCGGGTGCATGCTGTGGACACTGTGGCTCACTCCCATGCAAGCCCCTTCTCGGGTGATTTCCTCCACTTGTCCCTTGCCTGGGGGCCTTCCTGCTTCCCAATCTCTGTTTTGCAATCAGGTGATATGTGCAGAGACAACAGGGGTCACGAGCAGGCGATCCACGCCCATTCCATCCGCCCTACAGAGAATGGGCAGCTCTGCGATTGGATGTAGTGTTAGTCCTCAGCCACGCACAGATTAAAATAAAAGTATTTTCTTAGACTGAGGAAATGCTAATCAGTTATACTTAAAAATATTGCATAAATGAAGTTTCAGGTTCCTACCATAAAGCATAGTCCTACAAAAAATACGGTTCTTGGCTACTGACCCCCAACTTTTCAGCACACCCAGGACTGCGGGACGGGCTGAACAGAGAAGAGGCCCGGCACTGCCTCGCCGACGTGGGTAACGATGACCTGAAGATGGCCCGTCGGTGCTCCATGTTTGCAGCACAGCTGACCTGTTTGTCTGCTCACACTTAAATGTCAGCAGAGTAGACACGGCCGAGGTTTCCATGGAAACCGTCCTGGTTTCAGGTGCTTGGCCGGGCTTCGCGTGAGGCACGCAGAGCAGAGGCGACTGTGCGGCCTCTCCTCAGCACGCTCGCCTCCCCTGCCTGGCCGCGGCCCACCTCCACCTTTGTGTTGGCAATCCTTTGGCAGAGTCTCCTCAGCATCTATGACTGAGAACCAGAAAGTCTCCTCTAAGCCTTGGCAAATCTCACCTGTCACAGGCAGTAAATTGGACGGCATTTCTTTTCTTTTGGCCAGAAATGATGTTTGATGATGTCTTACGTAGAAATTTAAGCAATACACAAATGTAGACTACACAGAACATCTGACATGTGGGATGTGTAACTCTGGGAATGTATTTTTCACTTGTGTCATCTTCCTGAACTGTTGGTGACAGAGGAACACAGCTTTTCTTCCCCCAGAGAGCTGAATATCCAAGTAGCTCAAACTCCTCTACCTTCTTTCAGACCTTGGGACCACTTCCAGGGCCTTCACACTGTAGCCCCAGACTTTTTTATCTTTTAATTTTGAGACTAGGTTTTCCTAAGTTGTTAAGTTGCCCAGGCCAGCCTGCAACTGAGAGCCTTCTGCCTCAGCCTCCTCAGTTCCCACTTGGGGTTTCATGTGTGTTTGACCAAGCCTGGCTTTCTCCTTTTCCACAAGCCTTTGCTCTAAACTCTCATTAGGAAGGATTTCCTCAAAATTGCAGCGCTCCTCCCTAACTCTCATTCTGTTTTACTGCCCTGTGAAATTTGCTCTAATTTGACCACATAATAGCTCTCCCTGGATCGCCAGCCCTGCAAGGGCAAAGGTCTTTCTCTCTTTAGCCCCCAGGCACTGAGGTGCTGGTTGCCCAGAGCAATGCCTGGCACTTAGTAGGTGCTCAGGAAACCTTTGCACATGTGAACTTAGGCAAGTTTATTTCAAGAGAAATTTATTTTATAATATCCATTACCCCAAGGAAAAAAATGAATTTCCTTTTACTTGAATTTCCTAATTCAGAAGATTGCAATAGGATCTAAGGTCTCAATTTTTATAAGCTACTGTTATAGTTTGTGTCTAGGTGTCCCCCCAAAGCCTCATGCAGTCGTGGAGCAGCTTCTGGAGTTTGTGATTGATTACTGTGGGTGTGGATGCTGCACCTGCCCTGGAGCAGGGAATTTGCATTACAGTGTAAGATGGGAAGAGAAGCCAGCTGCTTGAGCTGCTGCTACCCCTCCCTTGCGCTCTTGCTCTTTGCCACCGCCATGAAAGATTGCTGTTTGCTCTGTGCCGCTCTGCCTTGGACCCAGCTGAGTATGGACTGAACCCTCCAGTGACTGTGAGCTAAATAAACCTTTCCTGCCTTCATTTTGAGTGTCGGGTATTTGTCCCAGCACCGAGAGAAGAGGAACTAAGACAGCTACTGTAAGAAAGACTTTCTGGGTTGGGAGAGTTACAGGAAAGGCAAGATGCAAAACGCTGGGGCAGCGTGAACACTGATCTGTGGGCTCAATGCTTCTCACTTTATCCACCTTACGCCTTGTCACAGCTGCACATGTAAAGGCTGTTACTACTACACAGATGTGCGTGCTTTCTATTACTAGTTCTTCAATCCGGGCATCCTGTTATTCACTGTATGTAGTAAAAGCTAAAGCAAGGTGCCAGGCGCTGGCTCTCAGGTCCAAAGCAATGCATCGATTGCTGACACACCTGGCAGCCTTGCCTGAGGTAGATAAATAGATGCTCACACAGGGAGAGGACCAGGGTCGGGCCGCGTGACCGCGCAGGAGCAGGTGTGCGGGGGCTGCCAGTGGCTAATGCTCCTTGCTGCCCTCCCAAACGCCCTAATCCTTTCCACACCAGGGTCCCTGTTTCCTCTTCCATGCTGCACCCAACGTGGCTCAGCCTCACCTGGTCCGCACGGAGACAACGCTGCACCTCCATGACCAGGCACCATGCAGGGACACAGACTCAGGTCTGCGAACAGAACAGAACGCTGTAAGAGCATCAACCCAGGTGAATGTGTTTCCAGAACAACATGCCCAAGGCAATTAATTCACGAAGGGAAATTGTTTATGTTGGATCAGGGTGCCTAGGCTCCAGGCCCACACTGGGCCGCCCCATTGCTGTGGGCCTTCCACAAGAAGGGGGCACGGCGTGTGGCGGAGCAAACCACTAACGCCCTGCCTGGGAAGCAGAAAGGGACTGCCCAGGCCAGGGCCCACAGTCCTGCACCTTCAGAGGGACCACCCCTCCCCACAGCCAGTGTGGGAGCCACAGCCACCATTTTGGAGGCCCGGGCATACTCAGAATCCTGGGTGACACCCGTCCTGCTCTCTTTCCTTGGTGTGGAGAGCAACCGAGTGACCTGGGCCACTGCCTGCTGCTCTGAGGGTGGCTTGAGCCAGTGCTGGCAGCTCGTAAGCTCAGAGCTCACTAGAAAAGCAGAATTTCCACACTGTGGATGGAGGCAGTAGAGCTAAAGCATTCACAGAGACTGCGTCTGGACAAGAAAGGAAGGGGGCTGCAGGGGGAAAGGTGCCAAGCAAGGCAGAGTCATCCCCACTCCCTGCTCAGAGTGGGTACTTCTGTGACAGTACCCCCCAACTGGCACACCTCAGTTTCTGGTTGTCCAGGTAACAGCTCCTGTTCCAGTCCCATTGCCCCTGTTTCTTAGAGACGGCCGGTCACTGCGATGGCAGCTGGTCACTAGGATGCACACTGTGTAATCTCGTCCCCAACTGCCAAGGCACTCTGCCTCTGTACTCCCTGCCTGCTGGGCCCACGTAAATCCCAGACCACTAGAGATCCGGGCCTGATATTCTGGGGTGAGCCCCATCAGCGACTGACAGTGTAAAGTCAACCCGCCTCCTGCTCCTGGGTGTCCTCTCTGTTTCTGCTTGCCTTTGCATTTCCTGTGTACATCGCTTTCTAGGAGTAGAGTGGCACTGTGCCCATGAGGCCCACGACGAGTCACAGCAGACACCCATGGTCACACAGTCCCCTTGCTGAAGCCCTCCGCCCCCCAGGCCAGCAGAAAACCCGAATCTGAGATGCGTCCAGATAGGCCCCAACCTCCCTTGTAGTCCTCCCTTTGCTCTTTGTGTAGTCTTTCCCTAGGATGAGGGACAAGATGTTGCCACAGACCGCTAAGGTGGGTGGAAACACTGCAGGCAGCAGACAGAGCCAGACTCCCAGGGCCTCAGGTCAGAAGCTGTGGCCTACACGCATCAGGCGGCGCTCAGGCCTCAGGATAAGGTCAGCGATGCAGCCCTAGGTACCCCCCGGAAGATAAGAGGAAATACCTGGTAGGAAAGTCTAGATAGGCACCCGTCACCTGGGTGGGCAGCCAAGACCCCAGATCCATCATCTCAGAAGCTCTTTGCAAGGTCCTGAGTCTGATTCCTGGAGAAAAAAAA